GAAGTATATACTACTGAAGTATATTTGCACAACTAAGGAGTCCTGTACTAAAAGAAAAATGTTGATCAATGCATCTTAGATTTCAATGGTTATCTAACTAAAGTAATTCATTAAAGTAAAACTAAAGAAATTCAACAATCTATACAATCTTACACACTAAAAAATATTGATTACTAAAAATCTATTTCTGACTATAAAATGCTATTAGTTATAACAAGCTACAGTTCAAAACTGCTAGCTTCTCCTGCATTCAAAATAAACTTTTAAACAGATAAAACAATGGGACTCTTAGATTTTAGGTAAAATTTTGCTCAAGAACTGTTAAAATCACAGTGCACACAGTTTTATTGACATATAATGTTAACTTGGATGATTTAAAACTAGACTTAAAACATGGCACCTGGAAATATATACTGTTTTACACCTGGTACTACAGCTGAAGTCGATGCACGACATATATATATATATATATATATATATATATATATATAGGGCAAGAGATAAAGAGATAGGGAAAGACTTACCTTCACCAAGTATAATAGGCTCGCCATACTGATAGTTATCATCCGATCCACATACATTGCTCTTAGTGGATCGACTGGGATTGAGCTTCTCCAATTGTAATTTTTGTAACTTTTGACTACATTGATTCCAGTGAGTCGGGATAGTTTTATCCTCTGACTGTTCAGGAGAATTTTCCGATGAATTCTAAAGAAAGAAGAAAAATAATCAGTAGCTAGAAGATAACGGAATCCCAAAAATTAAGGTCACTTTAAAATGAATTTCACTGTAACGTGTATACTACATTATTAAATAATAACTTAGTCTTCAAAATCCTTGATTTAATCGGAAATTATCTATATTATTATTATGAGCTACGACGTGAGCACCTATTTCAAAAAGGTGTTAGCATTTCAGAATAATTCCACAGTTTGTTCTGATCACCATAGGATATTGATTGTTTACAAAGGTTATAATCTTAGTTAACTGCTTTAGTAGACCAACCTCCGATCGTTTGACAGCACATATTTCTATTAACTGATGGAACTTATTTAAAAATTTCTTAAAGAACTTCAGAAAATCTCCAACAATATGCTTTATTTCTTGCTTGTGAATGTATCTTACCTGAGTGCATAAGTTGATTTTGTTTCCTTTCAAATTAGATACAGCTAACCGGTTCGCTGTGGAAAAAAACTGAGCATCTCAATATAATATGTTTGCTTTTAAACAATAATTTATGATCTTTTGTTAAGATTGTATGCAGCTCGTGAAGAAAAATGATAAATGAATTCATTTTGTTATTGACAAATGCTATTTTACACACAACAGTCAAACTAATTAAAATAAAACGAATGATTAACATTTTGTCTCACTTAGCATACTTTGTTTTAGCTTACGAAGACAATTTATGTAATTTAATATATAACATTGAGAATTAAGCAAGGTTAAGGTTTTGGTCAAAACATTTTGTTTAACTAATGCACTTCCAGTGTTCAACAGTTAACATTATGTACCCATGTTTCGAATGAACAGTAATGATTAATTAACCAAACCAACAATTTTTTCATCCAAATTACTGTATCTTAAAGTAATCATAATATTTTTCAAATCTGTCCAAAATGATTTTCAATTAATTGTTTAAGACATTGTGAGCCAATCGTTTGATAAAAAAAAATTATTGGTAATTACTCGAAAAGTATCCAGCAAAGCATCTTCTAAATATCAAAAACGGAATGGTCAGACTCCCGAAATTTGGAAGATGAAATAAGTTATTGAGAATAATTGATTTTTCTTCCTTGATAACGAAAGAGCTGAACAAAGCCATCTGGAGGCATTTTGTTTAAAATGGATGAAAGATGTATTGAAATAAATTACCTGACTAAAAACAATGGGGTTTATTATATTTACTGATTCATTATTACAGTTGGCTTTAAATTTTCCCACTGAACAAATCAAATTTATTCAAGCATTTGAATAATATAATCTTTAGGAAGTTCAACTGCTAAACTTTCTTATCAAGCTAATTAAGGAACACTTTCATCTAATAATTTAAAAATCGCCTAGATTATACAGAGCCGTGTGTTGGAAGTAAAATTAACCGGGTTCTACAGAAACGTTGGATGGATAATAAATCAAGAATCGTTATCCAATTTTCACTGAAGCTCAAGCTTAAAACTTATAGATCCTAAAGTTATATTTATATTTAACACCATACTCTTTGAAAAACTTCTACACATTCCACGATTTTTATATCACTGTTAATTTGCACCTGAATGCTGATGAAAGAAGCCGAAAGAAAACTTTAGGTGCGGTGAGATATGTAATTATGTTCTTCAAGTAGCTTATCCTGTGAATAAAATACGGCCTATCATTAAGAATTATTTTAATTAAGTTGATTGTTAAAAGTTTTCAGGCATACCTGTATGACAAGAATACATAATTAGCAAACCTTAACTATCTTAAATGAAAAATACTGATATTTATCACTCACGGATGTCATACTTGCAGCTCTCAAGTCAATATTAAATGCTTTTTTACATGATTCAGTAGCTTCAATTATACTGCTTTCTTCAGATAGCAGATTCAGTGGTGGAACTGACTCTGATGTTGTAAACTCTTCATATTTTCCAGAATGGTGATTAACTGATGTGTTTAAATCAGATGATCTACATTCGTTGACTGGTAAACCAACTATTTTGCTTTCAGTGTGACTGTGGTAAAATAAAGTTTCATCACTTATGCTTCGATCATTTTTTGTGATATTATTATTCATCGAACAGTCAACAATTTCGTCCTGTGTTTTCGCCACACACCCACTCTCATGACCATTTTTATTCTCAATTAAACTGTCCTCGTCGAAGGATTCTAAATCACTCATTCAAAAAACTCTAAAAATTACATAAAATGAATACATTTCAGTGAGGAATATCCTTTCCTTCAGAATTAAGTTATTTTTAAAGACGAGTAGTGATATACGATACCATAAAATGCACGAACAGTATATCATTTGTTATACGATAAATAGCGAGCAATAAATTGTTATGTAGAATGAGGCTTCTAGCTAATAACGTACAAGGAGTTTATTATTTGCATTCATTCATCGATAGTGGGTAAATACGTTGGGCAAAAAAGTGTTGAGTAGTAGCATTCCAAACTGACAGAACCAAAACATAGTATATAATTTATCGTATAAATATTAGTCAGTTAATGTGTTTACTACTACTATCGAAGCTCATAAGGTTAGAGTTAGAAGAGAATTAGGATAATAGAGATAAAAAATGACCGCGCTAAGATCAGTTACCAACTAATAGAACCACAGAACCTCTATTTAGCCATCAATTAAAATCCTTCTAAATACTATACCAGAATACCAAACAACTAATACCCAACATATTACATAGTTTAGTGTATGTTGCAACAGCTAGTCTTTCAGTCTTTGACAGACGATTACTTAAATAAGTTTGAAATCACAACCTCACCAGCAACTTGATCTTGCTTGCCTATAATTCAGTATCTAACTAATACACTGTCCACCCAATAATTAAACGGTAAGTAAGTCGTGTAGGGAAATAAATGTTTTAACAACAAAGCGAGATACAAGTTCTAATGCAAGTGCTTCATTCTTTTAAGCCTGAAAAAAGTCGGAACATCTCACAGACTTATTATAATTTATAGTTGGACTTCTCATCATGTAATGGACTATTTTATTGTTTGCTATCTTATCGTTTTTACCGCCAATTGTGATTGCATAAGGCTAGTTATAGTAATTCACCAACATCAGTTCAATATTCTTCTTTATTGCATCTTCATGCTTTGAAAGGTGCTAAGTTTAACTAATCTTTTGGTGCCAGACAACATCAAAAATGTAGTTATTACTCATCAAGAACTAAACATCAATACTTTCAAAACTTGACACAAACATTAGTATCAATTGCTTTATGGGAAATGCTAAATCCCAAGTGATATATGCTTTGACGTACCATTCAACGGCATTTCAATTAAAGATGGAACTCGAAGAAAAATGCTTTATTTTAATCTTTAACCTTCGCTGTTCTGCTTTGGCACAGAACAGTCAGAGTAATTCATTTCAATAAGTTCACATCAATTTGAATCAAACTAAACTATCAGTATCACTATCTTTAACATGGAAAAAACAACAGAAGGCTAGTGTATTTATTCTGTCACACTATTTCGTATAATTTCACAAACTTGCATGTTCTTTCCAATTTTTTCGTTTGATTACCAACATTTCCTTCAAAATTACTGGTCTTAAGCTGTTAAAAACCCTAAAAACATAATAACTAGGGATAAACTAGTAGTTTACTTTCTTTGATTGCCATAATGGTAGTTCTACATTATTTCCAAAACATCATATGCGATGGTAAACATGAGAAACTCAGTTCATCCGTCGTCGACATTTATTTATTCATTATTATTTCCTCTATTATGAAACAAATACTACCCCTTTTACGTAAAGTGCGAGACCTAATCAATGTCCGATGAAATTTAAAACTTGATTCACTGAATGTATTATGATATATCTCTTCGAAAATCCCTCTCTGAGATAAAGAATAAGCGAAGAAATGGAATATCTAATCTGCCTTGAAACGATGGCTCCTAATGCCGTAAACACAGTACACTATGAATTATGTTTCACGAATAAGTAAGAAAAATACTGCTTTGCTTTGGACCTGAGATGTATCATTAGTACGTAGTATCAGATGTTGTCAAATAAAATCAAACTAAAACCATGGAAACTGCGGTTCCACCTTAATCCTCAATATTAATTAATTAATCCTCAATAATAATTAGTTACGCCAAGCCTTAAGATCATATGAATTCCGAGAGAATTATCAGATCACACACTCAAAAAAATGACCATTAAATGCATTATATCACCTTCCTGTGTCATCTGTCATACAAAAAACAGTAAATACTACTAAAAATATCTGAAGAAAAACACATCGCTTATCAAACGCCGTAGCTCGGTTTCCAGTACTTGTAAATCGATAAACTGAAAGTATTCATACTCAACTAGATTTTTTCATAAGGAAGTAGTTTAGAAGGAGCTCTAACAAGTGGTTTGCTTCACCTTAAAAGATCAAGCTGAATGAGAACGCAAAAAATGTACAATCTGCTCTGATTAAACTATGCAACACTACACCATTGCATTGCTCTCAAAACACCAACAACCAGAAAGTTACGCTGTTCGGAACTTCAGATATATGAATAACAAATACTAAGCCTTAACAAACATTGAGTTAGCTTTTTCCATCATATTTTAAATCACTATAAATCTTCTGAATATTATTATTCCATGATTTTCATAACATTTATGAAGTTGGGTTATTCGTTACTGCCTGATCGGCATAGTTTGTGATATACACTGATTGATAAGAGTATGAAGAAGCTCGCGGCAATAAGTACTTGAAAAAAATACCTAAAGAAAACGTGGACTTTGAGCAGAAGCAAACTAAATGATCAAGTAAACCAAATCTTCGTGCGAAACCTGACTGCTCACTAGAGCTGATGCCAGTTCTAGATAAAAACCTGAGTAACTCATAAGAAAAATTCGAATACATGGAGAAAAACATTTTCAAACATAACTGGATTGCTTTGTTGTTCATCGTTTCAGAACCCCGTCAGGTTATGGACATCATTGTTGATTGTAAAATCTTTCAATGCTGTATGTGTATTTAATTAATGTCACCACTCAAATAATACCGTTTCATAGTGCTACTTCCTAAAAAATATTCACTAACTTATATAATAAGTTAACCATAAGTCAGCTACTATTCCTCGTTGCTAGCGTCAATAGTTCCAAACAAACGCCGTTATGTCAATGAACCACTGAAGAGTAAAAACAAATTGCTTATTCAATCTACAATCATGAGATACATTTTTTCGTCAGGTAAGACTGACAGGGTTTTTACACTCTCATAGTGCGATCCGTTGGTCAAGAATAATAGTTAGATAGTAGAGTCCATGCATTGTATCAAATTAATCTTCGTGTAGAACTTTGCTAGACCGCGTCTCGTTATAATAGATTATTCTATGTCCTATGACAGTGACCATACTATTACTTGTAGTAGTACTGTAGTAATCCCTTGAGTTTTCATCTCACGGAAATGACCCGCTTCAAAATTCCTACGCTTTCAGACAGGCATATTGTTCTCTACCACATTAGACAGGATAGAAATATTGATGATTCTCATTGTTGTTTCTGTAGGACCATTTAGTGAGTCGTTATTTGTTACGACAAGGTTGCTGGTCTTGTCTACTCGATCGACCACCGTGTAAGGATATCTGTCAAACGTTACAGTTGATGGCAAACCAGTTTTTACCATTTTGATAAACTGTCAAAATGGTCTGTAGCTGATGATGATATAATTTGCCGATGTATCCACTGTTATACAGAAATGTCTTTGTGCAGTGCACTTTTATCTCTCTCAGAGGTGGGATCATGATGAAACTATCAATTCAACTCACTCAGAAGATGAATTGTCATTTTTCAGTCACAATAGAATTCAGAAAACGTGGTTCCTCCCAATTAATAACGGTCACTTTCATCGGCTGCTGGAAACGAGACCTTGCCAAATGAGAGCAATCGCTAACAAGCTGTATAATGGCAAGCAAAAATAAATCTAATTCTAGAGGAAGGGTCTAAAAATACTTTAATTAAAAAAATTAAAAGAAACGTGTGAACTAAGGTGCCAGATTTAACAAATTAACATAACATAGTGAGATAATTTTCTTTAATAATTAAACATAATGATTATTACAGTCGACAGTGAAAGAAATGTTGTACGTAAAGTACAACAGGGACAAGGTTATGGAAAAAAAGACACGTTAGGATTTTCGCATATATTTGAATGGAATTATACTGAGTATCAACTACTCTAACAAAAGCTGTGCAAGTTTACCGAAAAAAGTAGATTAGTCCCGTGGATGAAGCAGTGAAAATAATACTCATCAAATAAGAATATTTGAAGTAGGGACATTGCTTCATATCACGAACCAAAAGCTGACAACGTCTGGCATGTCGTTTCCCTAGTGACCGAAAAGCTAGAGTGGGGGAAAAAGTAGTTCTGCAACTACGAAGCTATTTAATAGAACATTAGGTTATTTTCAGACGTGTAGGAATCTGGTTTAGCAATCCGTGTGATGCTCTTTGACATCGTCCAACAACTCAAGATGCCGAGTTGACTTGCTAAATTACGTACGCCTGTTACCCAAAATGGAGCATAGGCCGCCCACCAGTTTTCTCCAACCAACTCCGACCTGAGCTTCCCTTTCCAGTTCTTATTCGTTCTTCTCATGTCTTTCTCTATTTCTGGGCGCAATGTGTTCCGTGGCCTTCCTCTTCCCTTTCACCTTAAGGGTTCGATGTGAGGGCTTGTCTTGTGACGCAGTTAGGTGCTTTCCGTAAAGTATGTCCTATCCACTTCCACCGCTTCTTCTTGATTTCCTCCTCCACTGGAATCTGGTTTGTTCTCTCCCACAGTACTTTGTTGGTGATAGCGTATGGCCAACGAATCCGAAGTATTTTGCATAGACAACTGTTAATAAATACTTGTATCTTGTGGTAGACGGCTTTCGTGGTTCTCCAAGTTTCCGCTCCATACAGTAGAACTGTCTTCACATTTGTACTGAAAGTTCTGATTTTAGTGTTAGTTGGCAGTTTTTTTGCGTTCCAGATATCGTTTAATTTTAGAAATGTAGCCCTTACTTTGCCGATCCATGCCTTCACATCTGCATCAGATCAACCTCGCTCATCAATAATGCTGCCCAGATATGTAAAAGATTTTAAATCCTGCAAGGCATTTCCATCAAGAGTGATTTGGTTGGTGTATGTTATGCTGTATCGTGGAATCTTGCTTTCCCCTTTATGTATGTTGAGACCTACTGCTGATGCTGCTGCTGCTACACTGGCCATCTTTACTTGCATTTGTTGTTGCGTATGTGGTAGAAGAGCCAGATCATCTGCAAAGTCCAGATCGTCCAGCTGGGTCCTAGCTGTCCTTTGGATATCGAGCTACCCTCTCAGTTCCGGTCCCTCTAAGAAAAATTGTCAATCGTTAGCAGCCTTCGGTTTATTATTTGAGAATGATTATTATTATGATATTATTATTAGCAAAACTGGTGTATACCATTCTACTAACAACATAGGTCGACATTTCAAATGGTTGGACGTGTTGGCTATAAAAGATTATGTACAACAGGTTGGCTAGCAGTCCACCCTGAGCTTGATGTGGACTCTTACTGTGGTTATTAGCTGCACACGATCCTATACGCTACAAGCTAGTCTGCCCAATGAATGGTACTAGAAAGAGTTACAAGAAACCGAAATCCATAAAAAAGCGCAGCCTTTGAAAGTTAAAACTCTAACCGTGACCAAAGATGTTCAAACTAGCAAGAAGCAGGTTTCACTCCACATTTAAATAATAGGCTTTTTGGTTTCAGAGTAGTTTTACGATTTCTTGAGTAATATGATGTCACATTGAGGTCCTCTAAGTTTCAGTATTAGGATTTCTTCTCCTCATAAATTATAGAACTAACCTGTGGGGTCCATTTACCTGAGTGTTCGGATAGCTCGGTAATTAGCTCGTCTAGACAATCGTCACTAAGTAGCGTCGGACGGTTTATAAATCAGAAGGCTAATTCGAAGTATGAATACGTTTATATTTATACAGACCACAGCGAAGTTGAAAAGCAGCGAAAGAATGAGCGAAGGAAGCGAACGAATAGGTGAAGCGCTTTGGAGAAGGCTAATGAGCCAACTCAAAGAAATAGAGCATGACTAAGAATATATAGTCAGACAAATATAAGACAGACATGCAACAGGCGTAGTAGGCACACATGAACAAAGCGACGAATGATTGACAAGGTTAAATGACACATCATGTGAGCTCATATAAACCAGACAATAATAAGAACGAATGGTACATATAAATTGTTGCTATACAAATGGCTTGGTTAAATAAATTAATCGAAAGGGCCTAACCAAGTTAGATGCAAGCGAACTGTAATATATGTGGAGGCTCTACAAACCTCTCATAGTCGGTATCGTCTGGATCATTAGCTTATAATTAGGACGTGAGATTTAGGAATGTAGTTTGCAGTCATGATTATGTTGGGTGGATGACAACGGACTAACTTCTGACACTTCAGAAATACTTACTTAGGCTCAGTCTCGGTAAAAATCTTAGAGGAAATACTTAGAAATTACTGTAAGTGCAACTATCAATCTTTGCGATAAGTGGAGTTAGTTTTATTGTCTGATCCTGCAAATGATGCCGACTACTAGGATGCACCGCAAAGGTCAAAACAGAGTGCTAGTAACAATTACTTTGAAGCTCAATGATTTGAGTAGTTAGAGACAGGAAGTAAATTTTATTGATCGCCATTATGCCAGTAAAAACCGTTAGACGTAAATATTGTGATCATTTTGTTCATTCGAATCCTAATATTTACAACAGAAAACCTACCTAAAACCCTCTTATAGACAATTTTTACACTTTGTGTTAGAATGATTGCACTACTAGTTAGATGTTTTCTAGATGAATAGCGACTGAAATCTAGTATTTTTAACAGTATTGTCTAGAAATTTCCAACAGCTTAAGTTATTATTGCATCACTTTTAGTAGTGAAATACTTGATAACTATGATACGTGAAACAACTTTAGAAAACGACCAAAATACAGATTTAGACTAAAATTTGCACATCGTACAAAAAGGTCAACAACTTCTGTAAATGATTTTAAACTGAGCTCCTGTCAAAGTCTCATATTATCGTAATCAAGTAACCTACAACTGTGAAAACCTTTTCTCGTGTTTTAAGTCGCAACAGCTGGTGTTTTGGTGAGATACAACATAATTGTAATTTTTTCATACCTTCTGCGGAAAATTGTCTAAAATTTATTTCACGCACTAATTCCACTTAAAAGGAGTACACCATGAAGCACCTTTTCGAACACAGAAATCTTTATTTTGCTACAAAATATCAATTAGTAAAGATAACTAAAGTGGTCACGCAATAAAAAGTTTATCAAAGTATCCACTGCATCCAACTTCACATGTACTAAAATACAAGACCGTCTACAAACATTCAAACATTCTCGCTTTATTAGAGTATAAAATGCAGTCAATAAATTGAGTCATTTTAGACCATTCAGACGAAATAGAAGTTATTAAGATGGAAATCGCTTTTAATTTAAAGTTGGTTGACTTTGATGGCAATAAATTTAATCAAAAGTATTGATAATACTCCAAAATGAATCTCACTACTATTTTTTACGCGGCAATCTTAATAAGCCATCAAGAAGGTTTGAATGCACTATAAATGGAATTGAGTTCGATCTACATACAAAGTTGCAAATAGTTTCAATATTTCAGCGATATCGACAGTATCTTCTGAGTATATTTTACCTTCACCACTGGAATTCAAAAAAATTAAATCCCTTTCTAATTTCTATTGTCGATTTCCTTCGGTTCAGAATGTTAAAATACAGACAGTAGACACTTCAAAATATAGCATCCGTACGACCTATTCTTTTAAAAAATTATAGGAACTTCACGGGCAGATGTATAAAAAACGAATAATAACCCAAGCATGTTTAATCCAAAATTTCAACTTTTACAGCCATTAAACTATCCGTACCTCACTAAACAAGACTTAAACGTGTCTCCATCATATGGGAATTTATGTTTGACTACATATTACTTAAGTCGTTCCTGTATAAGTTCGTCATCACCAAAGGAAGAATAACCTTTCAATTAAAAGTCCTGAAAGTTAGGTAACGTTTAATAGTTTACATCGTAAACGTTTCTGGCTAAATTAATACTGATGTTTTACTTATTTAACTCAGGTAGAAGTAATAACAAATAGAATTTCAAAAGCCTCTAATAATTCTATCCATATGACTGATGCGAAGTGAACAAGAATGTTTTTTGTTGAAAATACTCAACCATTACAGTTCAGCTACTCATATTAGTAGTCTTGTTTGTAATTATAAAATTGCTATATTCAGGCTAGCCAAAAAATTATTTTTGTTTAACTCAAAATTTGAATAATAGGTATAAGTGAACTTAATAATAACATTTGTCAAATCTCAGTAGATGGAGTGAACTTACAAGCCCAATCTTCTGTTATTGTCCGAGGTTTAAGTCATCTACACTTTTTCTACTTGATCCGATCTACGTTAAGATCATATTATTTTTGTACTATTATTCACTAGTATATTTTCATCTGTTGTTCGATCATATGATCAATAGTAATCAATCGAAACTTGTTTAGATACATTATGTGCTAGTTGACTTTTGTCACAAAGGTGTATCTGTAATTTCGAGTAAATCCATGTTTCCTGTAGAATTCAGACCTATGTCACCCAATAAAACAGTTAGTTATCAATAAACCATTTTGCTAAACCCTGATTTCTCTCCGTACTCATAATTAAACAACATAAAAAGGTTCGTTTGTAAAATTATTTAAATAACAAATGACTAGAAACAAGGTATTTTGTTCTAAATATATATATTACAGTAAAAAAAACAATGGTCTCAGATTTATTATCAATTGGAACGAACTGTCACATCTTCAGATTAACCAATGCTTTATTCTACCTTAATTATTGAAACTGTCCGCTCCGAGAATAAAGCAATTATATTCCTAATTATCTAATTGGTCAAGTCTCATTATTAATTAACTCACTAAACATTAATGTAATGGCTTAACAACATTTTTGTTACAAACTGGCACCGATGAAAGAATTATTGAAATCCTGAAAACTCGAGATAACCATCTTGATTTTATTAGGAAAGTCTTAGTCGTGTAGTTCCAGGATACCAATTAATATTGAAGTCCTTACTGAAATCTGTTGTTTATGAAAAAACTTTGTTTGATACTGGTTTTTCTGGTGCTAAGGATGCATTCTATAAATACTGAGCTCCAATTATTTTAAATTCCATAGTTATGCTTTGAAATATTTTACAGCTTCTCGTTACAGAGTTGGGGAGATTGTTGAGTTTCATTGAAATCATATATATATATATATATATATATAATAAATCATTTACTAGATGAGTTTCCGTATTACGTTAAAAGTTAAAATTAGTCAGTTGTATTTACAACTAGCGTGTTGCGCATGCTTAAATGAGAATGATTCTCAATAGTGCATCGGTTTTACCACAAATTTCAAGTAAGTATAGCTAAACTCTAAACGCAGATCAATTTAAACTAATTATATAAAGAAATCCCACTAATTCTAAATAACCATGCAACATCTTTGCTGCAATTCATATGAACCTACTAGGCATTCATTTTTGTTACAGCAAGTTGTTTATTCATAAAGTTTTCACCATGTGACCTACTGAGGACAATCAATTATTAGTAAATTGTTAAAAATTAAGAAAGATTGACAAAGCATTATTTGCTGTTGTTAGGTTTCTATAGTGACAATAACTACTAACATTTCTTAATTTACTATTGTGAATGAAAACAAACTTGAATAAAAATATTACCATAAAGGACTATTACAAATAACTGAATTTGTAGATTATACCATGTACTGAACTTAGTTGAACAACCATTAAAAACTGGGAGGCACTGGACAGATATTTTGCTTAGATATGGGACCATGTGTAGTAATAAGTACTTATCTAGCAACGGCAATGAAAAATGAACGTACAATACCGTGAGTTGACTGAAGTCAACCATGCAAAACATTGAATATCATCTAACTAGTTAAAAGGTTAAGGGCTTGCCTGCAGATCCGAATGTCTTTTGTTCAATGTCAGTTGAGATTGTGAATGCTTACTTCCCGAAAATCCTACCTCGGAAAGAAACATCAGCTAAATGATTACTGGTTTTTAATAGTTATTTAACTGATATCAGATCTTGACGCTAACTCAAGTACAGCAGGAACGTATTTTAACCATCTTTTGATGTTTCTTATCTCATACGCATTTACAGAATAATAAATAAACCTATTGTTTTATGAGATTTTTTTCTTCATGGAATAGAAAATGCTTGGAGTTGAAATTAATCAAAAGAAACAACTTATCTACCCTCATACACAATCAAGTTATTGTCAGAGCCTGCATGGTAGTAATAAGGACATACCTACAAACAATAAAATCGGTCTTCATAAGTTTTCGTCTTCTTACCTTTGGAGATTTACTGTCAAGGTAAAGCATGACGAAATTGCTGTTACACAGAATGCTCGTTTTACGTAGTTTTATATTCTGACCTTTTTTCTATCTAGGGTGGTTTTGTGAGGATTTTACATTTTTAAAAGCTTCTGAACTATCTCCATGTGTTTTAATCTATCTCCTTATTGATAAGTAACGAGTACTGGACGGTTATTTTGACCTAGTCTGTACCTCCTATCACATCATAAGGCATGCACCGAACTTCCGACGTCAACAATGAGATCAAAAACATATATTATATCAATAAGGAACAGTTTCACTTAAAGGTAAGATATTAAACTATATTCAGTGGATTTTATTCCGTATGATACTGCGAAAACTCACTGAAAAAATTACTGAAATTAAAACAAAATATTTACTTAGATCTCCCTGGTTTTATTCTAAATATGATTAACTCATTATACGTCATTGAACAGAATCACATCTAAAGCGTTTACCCTCAATTTTATATTTATATATAAATTTCGACACTTTGAGGTAGAGTACATCAAAGATTATAAGTCTTTCTTATTATTTTTGATTAACTAGAGCAATTTAAACTTATTTAGCCATAAGATCATCCAACATGTAAATAATAATGATAAACTGTCAATAAATTAATCATTGGATTTTTTGTTCGTCTGACCCCGACTATTATGCTACGAATAATTAAAATTAAAATTGAATATTTTAGTGATGAACGTAGTTCATGACCGAAATAATTGATTTTCGACTAATTAATTTTAGTAATACACAGTAAATGACTGTAAATAACTTTTAGTTAGAATAATGTCCAGTTAAATGATTACATAGTTGAACTTATATTACTGGATTTAAACTAGAACAATTCCGAAATTAACGAATGATCAATAAACTTTAATTAAATAGTTTCACTCTATAATTTTGTCAAATATAGATTAAATTAAACTACGTGTTTGTACAATAAGGCGATACTTATCAAAACTAAATGTTTATGACAAGAACAAAATAGGACCTATAGGTATAAGAACAGTTTACGGAAACATTTTGTGAATATACTACAAGTTAACTTAAACTGCATTAATATCTGTTAACTGACTTCAAATCGATATTTGTAAGTACCAAAATGTTCATCATTTTTAATATATTTCAAAACACTAATCATACATAGTCCAATTAATATCTGGACTGATGGCATATAAATTGTGTTTTATAAAATTTAAGTACTTGAATCTTATACCCATCGAAGTACTCCTCACTTCCAGTTGTGCACTTATGAATCTCCCTTTCTGTTGTTCGAAACATTAACGAAAGTTTACAAACGTAGAACCTTTTAGCTTTCACATTATTCGACACCTGAGTAGCCTTGTGTATACAGACAATTTTCTCAAATTAATTCATCAGTAATTCTAAGGACAATAAGCCAGAAATTCAAAAGCACAAGCTTTCAATGTTTTTATTTAAAAGTAATTGTTGACAATTGTCGCCGTTCTGTTTTTGTTGCCAAGGCAGCACCAGTCAATTATTTATGACTACAGACAAGTTTAACAATCAACTGTGATGAAAACAATATTAAAATGTTAAAGCTTGTAGTGACGTAGTGATTTTATAAAAATCGAATGTATTCATCATAAAGCTATTTTAGAAGTTATAACACAAAAGTTCCCAAAATCACTTTTGATTGACAAATAGTTCACTCGAACGGTTGTAGTGCATTAAATCTATGCACTTGAATAACTGGAAAACATTTATTATTAGTACTTAGAAATAATAAAAACTGTCCCGATGACTTAACAGATATTGGCATTACAATGTCAAAAGATATCACCACTCTTTTACATGGTAATATGTAGGGTTGTAGAGACTGTTGAATTTCCTTGAAATCACAGACAGATCTAAGTTAAACAACTATTAAAAACCTAGAGGCATCGGAAAGTCGTTTCATACCGCTACAAGGTTCTTTGGTTGTAGGATCCAAAAACTCGCATCTAGGAATCCGACCCAGAACAAAGGATAACATTGACATTAGGTAATCAAGATTGTTTTGAAGGTCATGTATCTGTTGGAATATATGTATCTAAATTTATCAGCTGTGTCAAGTTTTTAATTCACGGTTAAACTACTATTCACGCTATTTTTGACTGATCACTGATTGGTAATAAATATTACTTTTTTATCCTGATTACTAATTGGATTCTATCGTTGTAGTTACATTACGTCTACCAGTCTAAATGACCTGACAGCAATGATATTATATTTTGATAAAAAGTGGCTGGAGGAAGTCAACACTGAAACCCTAAATCTAAGTTTAATGTTATTTCGAGCTTATTAGCATGGTATATATGTGGTCTTCAGAGGAATAATGATACGCATCATCTGATGTACGCAATCTGAAAAGTTACCATTCAAGCAACGCCTGATTTTCAGTGTAACTGTTTAGTAACTAATATCATGTTTATCATACAGATGAACCCATGCAATAGTATATTAGGAACTAGTCACCATTAAAAATATGTTTATTCTTTTTTTTATTTTTATTTTTACAAAATTCACAACCACAGATCTAGCTTCAATAAAATCAATAAGAAGAATGTAGTCTCATAAAAAGTACTTCAAAAATAATATAATATCACTAACATAATACAAAATATAATTTAAATATCTTATCATTTTCCCATTTTTATTTTACAAACATAATTCATATTTAAAGTTGACCACAATGAGTGAATCAGTGAAGGTTCATTGAAACCAGGAACACTGATAAATTGCAATCGTTTAAGTGTCTTCATATCGAAACTATGAGTTATATAAATATTTTTCAAATGAATAGGACCAATACCAAATTTTAATAATATAATTCCTAATAATATATCATCATATGGAATATTTGTAACATAATTAAATCCAACACGTAATAATTGAACAACAGGCATACTTAATATAATTGTTCCACTAATTATATAAGGTGGATAAATATTAAATGGATAATTTGATAATGATATATATTTAGATAAGAATGGAATACGTACTGGATAAGAGATACGTTTCACATGTCCAGATGCATAAATTCTATACTGTTCAGGTGTAATACGATGTAGTAGTTGTATTAAATTTATTGGATGTAAAAAATAATTATCATCTAGAAGTAAAATAAAAGATTTTTCATTAATTTTACAATATTTCACAATAAAATCAATACTACCAATCCATTTATTCAATAAATTGGAATCATTATCATCAAAATCGAATTGAATAATATCATGATGAATAAAATACTCATAGTGTAGCTTCAGCAGTGTGTCTATGCTACCACTACTACCAGTACTGCTACTACTACTGTCAAAATGAACATTTTTATTCTGCATAGAATATTTCAACATGTTATAGTTTCTTCCATCATGATCATTATTATTGTTAATCTGCTTGCCTAAAATGAATAGAATACGAACATGTACACCGAAATTTTCATAGCATTGTTGATTTCCCCACGTTTGACGAATAGCATCTCGTTGGTCAAAATTATTCACGTGTGATCGAATAACTAAGAGAATATCAACAGTTTGACATTTTGATGACTGAAATAACGAGGAATTATTATTATTATTATTATTACACTTATGATGTTGAAATATACATTGTTCTGTATAATTAGACGAAAGAGGAAATATTATTTTCCATAAAGGTGATAAACTTGAATTAATGTGTAATTTCTCTTTTTCATAAATTTGATATAGATTTATATTTGGTGGATAATGAAATAATTGATAATCTTCTTGCATGTATAAGGTTATTAATAACCAAATAACTGATAGCCAAAATATACTAAGCATAATGATACAAAGAAATTTGCATTTTCTTGAACGTAAACGATAATTTGTACAGCGGAATAAATAACTGACAATATATAACAGCATAATGATTGTCTCACTGATTGTTTTAATTTATTAATTCCCAATCTCCATTGCTGAATGAAATGAAATGAGTAAAAAAATAAAGAAAATAAAATGAAGCTTCACAAATGAAAACAATTAAAACACATTAAATTGAATCATTCTCTTGTACATAAGTTAAATAAACGAAGGAAATAGTAGTAGTGTTCTTGAGGAGTTAGGCTAGAGAAATTTTGAGTTAAATTATAGTAACACTGAAGAACCTTAAGAGAACACGTATCCAGTGTATTTCGATATTTCTTCGCTAGAGTGTGACAAATACCTATTGTACCAAAAATCTTCAACCCAATGAGATCCGTTGAATACCAAACATTTATTGAATCAAAATATAAGTGGATATTATCAAATTGTGATATTCTTGACATTAGATTTTTCTCTTATCGAAAATTGTGGAATTCACACGAAAAAAAACCGAAGTTTATAATAAAACTACTGATCGAAGCATTGATATTGTAAAGTAACCTCAGAATATTCTTTGTTTAATCTAAAAAGTAAAATTTGGAATTAAATTTCTTTACTATTTAGTATTTGATCGAAAATTACTAAAAATTGTCAAGCAATAAATAGCCACCTTTTTAAGTTGATAGTTCTCAACAAAGGCTACCAAAAATTAATCTTTTATGGTGAATCTAATACTACGGAATGACGAAGTCGAAATTCACATCTTTAATTTACATCGGTTTGTAATATGGCGCGACCTATATTCACTGTCATCAGCTCAAGGTTTCCATATATTCGACTTTGCTGTCTCCCTAGGCCATGATTCAAATGCCAGAAAACCTGTCCCGAAGTTAGTCACTATTCTATCGCTAGTTAATAGATAATTGTTGTTAGATTAGGCAGTTCACGAAGAATTGGTCTAATACTTAGATTATTCTCATAAAGAATCGAAACGACCTGGACATTCTTGTATTCTTTATATGACCATTTATTTAGAACAAAAAAACAGATTAGACACTGAAATTTATCATTTTGAAACATCAATTTTGTTCGTAAGATAACAAAAGTTATAACCATTGAATATAATCGAACTACCTGACTGTACTACTCAAAGTCCTTGAAATCCAAAAGTAAAACCTCATTGACAATCTGCCATTATTCTAAACCTAAGTTTTCCCAAACATTTTTCGTTTTTCAGAAAGGTTTTAATTTTTAATCAAAATTAGGCAATTCAAGAAAAAATTGATTATTTATAAATTTAAAATATCCTCATTTTTCTTCAATATCTGAAGTAAACCCACTTTAATAAATTAACCATACTACTCGTGATTTTTATCTGTAACCTTAAAAGAGGCACTCATCATATTGTGCAATAATTATAAACTAATTATAATCATTAACCAATTTTCTACATAGTAACTTTTATTTTTTAATGTAATACCACATTTGCAAAGAAAATTATCATTTGAAGTAGATGAATTGTTAGTACATTTCATAAAATGAGGAAGTTTCAAATGTTTAAGTGAATTTTAAGTTTTAAACTATTAAAAATAATTGTAATTTTAAAATATGTATATAGGTTTTATATATAATTTTCTTATTAGTTTACTAAATTATAATTACCATGTGTTACTTGATGATCATTCCTAGTTCTATAATAATCCTTTTTAAGTAAGAAAATTCACAGTGAGTTTTAGATTCTCCATCACGTGTTTTGTGTAGAATAATGTTACCATTCGTTTTATTTAAAAACCAGAATAAACTTTTACTTTCTTATTTTTTGGATTAATTGTATAGCATTATTGAAACTAATGAATATGTGTACTTAAAAATTACGCAAATATTTGAATATCACTTTACAATATCACTCATGTGAAACAAATAAAAATCACAACTCAGTTGTACAATGAGCAGTTTGAAAATATTGGAAAAAAAGCCTGTAATTGTTCATCACCAGGTATATACAATCCTTTCCTAAAGTTTAATGCTAGTGAAATGATGAATGAGATATTATGATTTGATTTCGATGACCATACTATCTTGTATAACATTAACAATAATATTAAGGGCTAAAGTATATTGAAACTGTTATCTAATGTTTTCCAGTATTTACAAGTTCATCAATTAATGCCATCTATCAGTGGGAAATATCCTACAGATGTTTCAGATCTAAGCGAAGTCACAAAATTTAGTGGCACTAGTAGCTTTATATGAAATAATGTTTTTAAAAATTTATTCAGAAGGTTTTTAGGGCTAATACGCATCAGTAATACATGATGAAGACCAGCCGTTATCACTAACTGAACTCAGTTAAAATTAAGAACTACTCGACAATGAGTCAGTGATATTCTTGTTTCACCATTCGAAATGTCCTTGGTTCGTCTTCATGTAAAATGATGGTTGCTGAAGCACAGGGGTCCCAAAACACCAAAAACATCAGGTTGTTCAACGCTCAGCGTAAATCTCAAAACACATTGAAAACCTCTAGATTTACCTCATAATTTAATCATCTAAATTATGTTATTATGAAAATAGAAATTATTATTATCAAAGATCTCTAATGTTCAATAGATTTGGTGAGTAAACTTGACAAGTTATGCTCAATTAACTTATACAGAATTGTGAATATAAACTTCATAATTTCGAATTTTCATTCACTTCAGGTTCCATTTGGATATACATTCAATAATTTGATGCGATCCGAGAATGTGATGTGTTGACATTAAACATTTTGAACAGTCTGGTCACGTATATATTTGTCAAAGCATTCTTATATGAAAACAAACAAAATTAATTTAATAAAAGTTCAGTAAATACAAAGTGATCAATGGAGATGAAGGAGAGAAAAAGTAAACATATTTTTAAAAGTCAGAAATTGTTTGATTGAATTTTTAATAATCTAATTATTCACAACTTCAACATCAATAAGATGAACTAGATTGTTTTTGCTCTCTCCTACCCTGCCTTCTAACTTAAATAGGAACTTTCTCAATAAGAACTACATCAATTTTGTTTAATTATACATTGATATCGATTACAGAATTTTATGAAACCGAGCACTTGTCCCTCAGTACAAAATCACAGTTAGTCAAACAGTATGAGAAAAAGTGAGCAAGAAATCAAATAAGTTATTGTTGAATGATCAATACAGATCAATGAATAGAATTTACTTTGAATAAACTAACATAATAAAAATGAGTTAAAAGTTAGTTTAATGTATATCACTTTAAACCCAAGACGTCACATTCCAACATTATCACATCACTCTCAACCATTAAATGGATCAACATCACCAGAACAGGTTTGAGATCATGACAAACTGTTTTGATAAATAGAAAGAAAGACTTATTTTTCTTAATGCTAATTATTTTATAAACCTAAGATTATATCTATGATAATTTCTACAAAAAAACTCGGAAAACTATCTGTTAGGCAGTTACGAGTTTCACTATTGAGGTGCATGCTATCCTATACACTTTATCAGTGGATTCGACATTAACTGATCACGAAAATAATTCTGTACAAGTTGTTTGACCTGATTACCATATCCACATTCTTTAAATACTGATTTAGAATAAATCGAATTTATATGATTTTGAAGATTATTACGATGTGAATATTTAAAGTGTACCTGTTATATGGTACAATAAAATCTAACTTTAAAAAAAAAGTCACCCAACACGATATTTGAAATGAATTTTTAAAGAATAATTATTGTCAAAAATTCTTAATCAAATTCAAATTTATAAACATGTCTCTCTGCTCGTGTTGTGTTTCGGTGTTTTATACTTAAATTTCATTGATTTATATAGGGTGTGTTGTTTTCAGTACATACAAAGCCATTATTTATACATTCAATAATCCTATAAATTGGTTCAAAAGCTTAGAAAAATGAAATCAAAGGAAAGACAGAATAATCAATACTGAAATGAATATTGTTAATATTTATATGTACATAGATACATCTTCAAAAAAAGACACAAATGTAAACGAAACGAATTCACTGTAGACTAGTTTAAACCGCTAAAATTATGAGAAAATTTTACTTTTTCTAAAGTAGTAATATGAATAAATAAAGCTTCTGCTTACTCTTTTTTTGGAAAAAGAGTATGTTAAAAAAGCATCAATCTATTAATCATTCGTAAAATCTAACATCGTTCATATATTCATCCGTTTAAGTTATCACACTACAGTGAAATCCTAGAATGGTGGTAGTAGCACTATCAGTTGTAGTAGTAGAACTGGCTGTGAAAACCTAAGTGTTGATAGAAAATCAATAAAACCATGTACATAACTGTCAATTTTTACTAGTATTTATGCCCATATTTAGAGCATATGTTAGAAATCTACAAGTACAAGAAACTTCATGTTTTAGTGGACGTAATTGCATTCATATACTGTTAGCGATAATCAAAAGGTTGCACTTTCAGTTTACAATTTACATGAAATATTTATTTTATATCCATTAGTTCATAACAAATCCATAGAAGAGCCTACCTGATATGGAGTGTTAGAGTTTACTGATGCAAAACCAATGTTGCATTCGTGAACAAATAGCAGGAGTATAAAACTGATTCGAGAATTACCTTAGTTTCATTTGTAACGCAAAGCTTAAAGGTGTATGATCTAGGGAATCGCTTACAAACTAGCAACGTAGGAAAAGAATACCAGCTTCTTTGAATAATGTTTCTCTATGGCTAAATGGAAAGTTAGAATTTTCCATTTCTCTTTTGCCGATTACGTTGAGTAACTGTCTTTAGCATATTTTTAAAGGCAGTAAAACTATGCAATCAGAGAACAATCCCCTTCACTAATAAAACAATCACCCATTTATATTTGAGAAAAAAGTCCTTTCGTGATACGACCAGTAACATGATTTCGCGCCAGCTTATCTTAAGAGTTATTTAAAAGAAATCTTTGACTCAGAAACTTGGACAAAACCTAAATTTAAATAATACAAACTACTGAAAATCTCTAGTATGAAAACCAGCTATATAAAGTATAAACATCTAGATATCTAAAACGTAACTGAGGATATTCTTAAAACCCGCTATAACTACTATCATATAGCACCATCTAAACGACACAGAATATTATCCTTAATGAACCCAAAATACTGTTTAAAATATAAAGCGAATAATAGACTTACACTCGGTTATTCATTTCGAGAATCGGCTTGACATTTTAAAGTCATTCTTCAAAGTATTTAGTCGATCCACTTTTTATGCTTTCAATAATCAACAGAAAAAAAATACCAGTTTGGGTGTGTTCACCGTAAATGATTCAGATAAGAGTAAACAAAATGACATTTCTTCAACATGTTGATCATTATATTCACCTTGAATTTTATTTATATCATGTGTTTTTTGATTTCTTCATAAATATGTTTTCTCAGCCAATCTAAAACAATAATAATGCATATTTGTACTCAATTATATGAGACTATGAATTTCCATTTTATGTTTATTTACGAAATAAGTGATCCTATTTAGATGTTATTTCAATATGTGTATAATCCCACCCTTTAAATTATGCTCAAAGCTGTTCACGCCCATGTCTAACAACTATCTGAACAGAATCAGTTTACTGTTTAACCATTCACTCATAAAGTTAGTGAGTCATACAAATTGTTTGTTTTCAATGATTTTGATTGGTCAGTTTTCACACATCGAATGTTTCCAATCACACACACGTTTATGACCTTGAAATCAATATTTTAATATGCTAGGTTAGGACTTAATCCGATTAGAAGTTTTGAAACCGGTTTAATCGGTTGATACAACTCAAAATTTTTACATCGGCCCTGTAACGTTGACCGACTTTAGGTTAACATTCCTGTAGAGCACATACCATTCGTTTTGAAAACTTGGATACAAGAACCCATAATTTTCATCATAACACAGGATTCAGTAGGATTCGCCAAACTGTTCAAAAACTGGATGATGAGCTTGATCACTACAATTTTATTACTAACACCTGTTTTCGATTACATAGTTGTCATGACTTTCAGACTACGTGGAATAATGACTCACGAGTTTTTTAATTGTTTGGACACACTAAGCAAATCATACCACAGTGATGGAGCATTCCACTGAGATAACTGTTAGAATAATATAAATATGATAGTGTGTAAATCGAATACGAGACATCCAAAACTACGATCAGTCTATACTATCCTAAGATTGTACTGAAGAAAGTGATATTTATTATGCTGACTACACTCAATAACTCAGTGAAATACTCCTGGTACAAATTTAATACTCAAGGGTTTCTTTTACTTAGATTTTCTTTTTATATCACACAAGTAATTATGTAGATGATAGAGGACACAACTGGAAATGAAGGTCCAGAACAGAGTTGGCTGGAGAATTCTGCCAGCGGCCTATGCTCCATATATATATATATATATATATATATATATATATATATATATATATATATATATATATATATATATATATATATATACTTTCTTACCTTCGCATCACACATTCAAAAATACATGGATAAATAATTCGGTATTAAATAAAAGTTGTTTTTTAAACTTCTTAAAACAACGTGCAATGCACACGCGAACAACTAATAGTAAACACAACTATGAAGGATTTTTATAACATGTGAATTAATTGTCATTTGCATGAACTATTCAAGAGATGAAGTTCATTGTGCTTAAAAAAATTTGAGAATTCGTTAAGGTTATGTTTTTTATTGAATTATTTAATTACGTAACATATATTTCATGAAAGGTCAATTAATGTTAACTTACAATGACCCAGTTTATGCTGGACGTTTTGCGTTTAAATAAATCTTGGCATTTGTGTAGATGAAACTATTGATTAAAATGTGCATGAGTTAATTGTTAACTCTCTAATGACATATGTACCCATTTAACTAGTCTTCACCATAGTTTTCTACTTTCTGATGGTTAAATAAGCCAGTTTTCGCTTTTTCTACTCAGTTTAGTAGGAATGAAAATATCAGGTTCTATTTTGAGACGCTAACTGTGTCGAGTATAGTTAGTGAAAAGAAAGGGTCTTGTTGACATTATTCTAAATTTTTAAATGTAATCCGGTTATTAGTAACGTGACAAACGTTTTTTTAGCTTAATGTGGACAAAATAGTATATTTCAGATCTGGTTTTGAATAGTAAACTTAAAAACGAGTATAATTCATTTTGAAATGGTTTGAATTATCCCGTTGTTGATGTTTTAGACAGTAATTTGATCAATGTTGGTGGGAGTATGGACATTTTGAGTGGATGGCTTTAATATAGCCATTAGGACGATGTTTAAGGCATACAGTAATGGGTTCGAGTTTCGGAATCAACATTAACTCGGGGATGAAGGTAAATCCAGCTGATGAGTTCAAAATAGGATGAAGTTCTGCTAGCTACATTATATCTATTTTAAATGAAGACTATTTTGGGTTGGAGTGTGTATTTATGGATACATGTTGATATGAATGACAGAAAACAGAACACAATGAAATTTGAACTTACAGTAATACGAATTTATAAAAATTGTACCAGATCTAATAAAAGCTTGCAAGGATCAGTTTAACTAGGTCGTCGACTTTCTGAATCTGGGCTAAACTTTACCTTTACCCCCTAAATTAAGAAAATGGATTAAACTATCTCTGCGTAATATTTAAAGAAGGTAAATCTTGGCAGGAAACTTCCTAAGATAACAACACAATGTTGACTCAACTGGTCTGCTAGGGGGCTTATTGTTCTTTTCAGGATATATTCACAGTTTGTAATCGTTACGTAAAACCACTAATATTCAATTTGCTGTGTTTTATTCCCGTTGGAATGAATTGAATTCAGCCGCTTGAAGTGACATCTCGGCAGGGATAAAGTCTCGCCATGTTTACTAGTTTAACTGATGCATCTACATAATACCTCTAAATGCATTTATCTGCTGTATATTTCATAGTGGTCTGTAAAATCCAGTTTGATAAGACAATTCATTGTCTAGACTAAGATCATCTAGAAAAATATTCTTATGATGAGCTTCACCAAATTACAGTTCACTCATCAGCTGATTTGTCGCTTAATTTTCAGATAGAGATTTATTCGACTGAATCGTTATTTAAAATATCATATCATCTTTTTATAGAAAATTCCACCAATGTATCTCTAACGTGATTCTCAACTTCAGTCGGTAAAAAGTAACCGGTAGTGCGAGTTGTGAAAATCTTTTATTTTAAACGAGCTTTTTCTGAAACATTCAGACTAGAGTAATGAATTTTCACACTAAAAAGACGTCATATTATGTTTTAATCATTCCCATTATCAAAACGGTAATTAAATTGATATCTGAGTGCATCTTCAAGCTCAAAACGAAATTAGCTTTTGTAGGCTTACGCTATTAATATTAATAGAAAAGTTAAAATAACATTAATTTGAAGTCTACTGCAGCCTTATGATTGCTGAATTAGTTACTAAATTTAACTTTTGAATGAACTAACGATAACTATATACTTTTCTAAATTGCTTCTCTTTTAATCACTAATTTTGTACTGTTTGGTAAAAGTACACTAATACTGTTGTTGTGATGTACTTTAAGGATACTATGGCCAGTTGGTTATATAAGCTAACTTGTCGTGCTTCTAAAGGAGTATAGTTAAACTATTATTTCTTACAAAAATCATGAACTGATAAATGTTAGATCATAATTTGAAAGCTGGAAATACCAGATGGCGGTTTCATCTTAGTATGAGACTCATCAGCAGTGCGCACTCACGACTTCGCAAGCAGGGATTAAGTCCAAGACCTTCGGTCTCGCACACTCATGGGTTAAGTGGTGAGACGTTTGCGTACATGATTTCAATAAAAGTCAACAATTTCCGTAACCCTATTCTCACTATAACTTATCGAATATTTTCATCACAGGATTAGATGAACTCTGTTCATCTTCAGGATCAAAAATTTTTAGTTTCAGTAAACTGATAGGTCTACATGTCTCCAATCAGTTGTCAATACATTATGTCCTCATAGGTTGACTATCAAATGTAGATATTTCGAACTTACATTTAGAACCTGTTTTTGGTTGTTGGACTATTTCAATTACTTGATTGATTTCTTCCACTTCTATATCCTTTGATGCATCTCTTTAAATTTTTTATTACGTATGCTAAAGTGTTTAACTGATTTGAAATTATTCCAATTTACAATCTTACACTAACATTATAATCAAATAAATAGTATACTACTATCTTACCTAAAGATGATATATTTTGCCAGACAACTGTTTTTCTTTTAAATACCTTCTCTGCTATAGTTACATTAGAGTGGTAACGTTTACAACACTTTCATTACCAAGCGTTTCATTCGTTTGACAATAATAAAATCAATAACATGCTATTGGTCTTCATATTTTAAATAATAGTTGTGAAGATAAACAGCAATCAGAATAGTTGTACTAGAACTGATTACCTCTGCAAGAAATTACATGCAGATATTACTGACTTTCACAGTTACTCAATTTGCATTTCATTTTAAAAGTCTCTTTCCCAGTTACATTAATCTTATATGATAGATAAATTCTCAATAGTTTCCCACTAGCTAACTATGACAGTTTATATAATTGTTTTGAAGCAAATTTTTGAGCTCATAAGAATTAGTGCTATACTAAAACATAATCAGATTGTCGTAAATATAATGTACAAAACTATAGAAATTGAGATGGTGGAGAAGATTTGTAGCTCAGGTGGATGATTGTGGTGGTGGTGGTGTTTGGTTCTCTGAGCTGGATGTTTTGGTTGTGGAGCTTTCGCTGTTCTTCTGAACGACATCATCAGCACAAACTTCAGATAGAAGTGAAGCATTCGAATTTCTCCACGTTTGACCTGTAGCTTGTTCTGCTAACTTTCAATCACGAATGTGTTTGAAACGATTGTCATTATAGCATGTGTAAGTTGATTGCATAAATAGTTGTTGATTCGTAAAAAATAATCTATTAGACTTATTTATTTAGACAGTTGTATGATATCCTAATGTGAGTTTTGTGTATCATATAAACATAATCTGAGTACGTCCAAGTACTTCCAAACAAACTTAATTCCAAAGAGAATTATTTTTTAGAAGCTCAGAGTTAATTGACAGCGCTAAGGATTGAATTGAATTAACACTAGATAGTGACCAGTGTTACTTTATTCCTAGTGCTGCCTGGATTTTATCAATCGAATCGCAACGTAGTCATTAGTCTATGTGACTTGACACAGTCCACTATGTTGAGAAGTACAATTATGGTCTAAGGTAGTCTACAAGAAATTCTGGACCTAGGTTTCATGTCATTTGACTTTCTTCAGAAAGATTTGACTTTAATATCGAAGCAACTGATATATATTCATTCTTAAGTCACCCAGATTCACATTCAGAGCCATTACCACTTAGCTATCGGGGTTACAACTTACCTACTGTAGGACTGGGATGGATTTAATATTTAGCTAGGTGAAACTATTTTCGATACAAACATCAGAATTAAGTGAACAGGTTTATTAATTTGTGTTTTATACAAATAAACACCAACGATGACGAGTATGAAAAAGTTAAACCATCGTTAGGTGACTAGTCAAGCTGATCGATGTTTGCGTGGGTAATAAATTCTGACTGTTACTTATGAGTAGCCAAAATAATATATTTGAAAACATTTTTCACTATCATTGCTTATTCATATGTAAGTTTGCATGAAATCAACCAGTCGGAATAGTGATTGTGCATTTTACCGGAATACTTTGCTAAATTTTCCTTTCCACTTACCTTTTAAATCAACGTTAGTGTCAGATGGAGCACATGGATAAGAATGGATCTCTGTAGTTCAGATGTATTCATTCTTTACAATCTCTTATGTTTCCATTACTATTTCGTGAATTTAATCTCCAGATTTATTTATTATTTAAGAGTAGTAGTAGGCTTACTAGTGAGTCACGATGTAAAATGACCTGAATCTAAGATATGTAATTCCGCATAGCGGACAAAACGACAAAGCAAAGGATCTATGGTAATTTCGTAACAAAAAATACTGCCACATGAAATGAACTTATTTCATTTCATGAGCGAAATCCAAGTACTAATAAATACTATTACTAAAATTTCATTGAAATAAGAATCTATAAATGAGAACTAAAACAATGCTTTTGAGATCATAAACCAATGACTGAAAACCAGGCAGCATTGGGCAACTGTTTTCTTCTAGAACCTTTATGCCCTGTGATGGGTGTATAACCCTCAAACCAATAATGAGCTGGCAGCTAACGGCTTACATATTTAATCTCAATCAAATCACAAAATCGCACGGCCATTTTGCACGGGTAACTACATCTCCACGAATGTCTACCTCATATCCAATACATTTGAGCTCCACTGACTTTTCATTCTGACCCAGAGGTAAACCACCTAGTTGGCGAAAATCATTTAGTATATTCTTCTCTACTTTCTTTAAACTAGGTGATATAAACACAAAACGATATGTATACTGTAGGTAATGATACATTTTGATAAGAGAATATACAAGGTCGCACACTTATTTCTTCACGCTTAGTATTATAGATGACTGAAGCATTAACAGTTTGAAGGAGCCTACGCTGATCGTATAATACACCATTTTTCCTAGCGGTAAAATGGTTAAATCAAAGTTATATTTGTACATTAATAACAGATAAGTAAAATTAAGTTCAGTATATGAAGTGGTGTTAATTTATTCTAGAAACTGATAATTGATTAGTAAAAAGCATTTTTCCTTGAATTTAGGCTTTCAGTAAATAATAACAACTACGTTGAGCAGAAATTATTGTCAGTAACTTTTTAATTTCGATGTTCGAAATTATCAACATCCCTAAAATGTTCTGCTCATCGATCCAGTCTCCTGGATTGAGAATAAATAATGGTCCCATCCTTTTCCGAGATAGTCTCACTTACACTAAGATTCCTAATACCTGTTTACTTGATAAGTCGGAAAACTTGTCTACTGTCGCCTTTTGCCTCTGCCTTTTCCATCGCTTTTGCTTTCGCCACCCACCACTGTTCATGGTCGTTGCGTGGGCTTTTTATCAGCATGCACCTGATCTGACTCCGCTCCTCATCGTGCTCAGAGCCTGGTGGGATGTGTTTTCGAGCATCCATCAGTTCGGTGGATGCTACTGAGATCCACAGCTTCTTCCTAGCCTTATGGTTTACCTTACTAGCAGATATAACTGCTGTTTCCAAAGCCTTTTTGATATCATTCCAAGCTGCCTCCGGATGAGAATCACTTACATGGTCGCCTAACTGTGTTTTTAGTTGCTCCTAAAATATATTCTTAGCTATGCTACCATTAAGTAGAACCCTAACAAGTTATCTTGCGTTGTCTTTCCTACCTCCAGTAAGCCCCAAACAAATATGCGCTCGCACTAGAGCATGTATGATCTGACTCTAGACAAGTGGCCCAGAACGAGCGACGGTCCTCTATTCAACCCCTCTATTGGTTGCTGATAGTGATCTGGTCTAGTTAAGTCCAACGTTTAGACAACTTTGGGTGTCGCCAGGTCAAAAGATGTTTTTCCTTATGCTTAAAGTTAGTGTTTGCTAGATATAGGCGGTTATCTGAGCATAGCTGTAGCAGACGGTCGCCATTATTTGTTCTCTGAGTCGCAACAGCATAAGGTCCACCCAGGGCGTCTTTGCTTTTCACTTAGTGTACCTACTTGAGCATCGAAGTCACCAGCCATTACTACTACATCGCATCGTTTGCATTAGCGTTACGGGGTGGTAAAGGAATGTGAGGAGAGTTAATTGTGGGGGTAAGAGAGATATTAGGGTGTGTAGGGAGGATTTGATTGTGACCGATTTGGTCTCGTGTGCTGTCACGGGTATGAGGGTGGATGTCACTTCCCGGATGCCCACACCGTGGAAGGGTGTTTCTTGAGGAACTTGAAAAGGGAGGTAGATTAGTGTTGGTCTTGGAGACCTGGGAGCGTGACCGCAGAGTCCAAGAGACAACTGCCTGAGGCCGGTCACGTACGTCCTTTTTATGAAAGTTGTTTGAGCATTAGCTCCTCTCTTAAAAGCCCTTAGTGGCCAGCTCTTACTGATGAGCTAGAAATCCGTGAGGTAGGGTGAGGTGTGACATTTTTATGGTCGACCTTTCCTAACCCTTCCTTTCTTGTGAGGAGGCAGCATCGCTGCGGATGCTGGTTATCCGAGGGAACTGCCTTACTGCTGTTACACCCCTCTGCGGTCAGCATTACGACTTCGCCTTCAGACCTTGAGTAGCTGCTTTTAGTCTCGTCGTTCTCGGTTGGGTCATCATGATAGGCAAGCGCGACCACCACGTCAGGGTACCATCTACGGTCGGGTTAACGATTCAACAAATAGCATTTAAATGTATTTCTTTCTCAGAATGGCTACTTAGTTTGCTGTTGTGACCCAGTAATATTAATGTACGATAATAATTTTTAATAATGCATTAACTTTTCAAATTCTTGAACTTCTTCTATAACTGGAGTAGCATATTTTCAGATGTGCGATTTCATAATATCTGTGCAAATAAAAAAGTATGTCAATTTTTTTAAAGTAAGTTACTTTTAATTCAAAACAAAACTTATTTAGACACAAATTATTCATAAAATGAGAGTTCTGTGAATATTTATGTTGTAATTCGATTTTAAAAAATCTGATTATTAGTACACAAAATTTTGGGTTTTACGGTTCCACTAGCGATTAAGTGGCTTCACTTCCAACGAAGTTACCGGGAGATTAAAAGGTATGCAATACCTAGCCCAAAATTATCCAAGATCAACAAAGCATAGATCATCTATTACATATTGACAGTCCAAAAACAATTAGGAAAGAAAATTTATCAAGAAAATAGTCTATCCATTGCAAAGAGCGTGTAAACCAAGTTTATTCCATCCAGTTAAGAAAAAGGAATTATCACTAAACCCATGGATACTTATGAGATCATCAATATAAACGTTTGGATAACGAACTGAGAGAACACCATCCAAATGTACAGGACTGATGCCCAGTTTATATAAAACAAGCCCGATTACAACGTCTTCAAAAGGAAGCAATTTTGTGTACCTCAACCCAAAAGAAAGGAGCTGTGCAACATGCATGCTAAGGATAATAGTTCCACCAGAAGGAAACGGTGGATATAAACTGTATGGATATTCTGAATAAGGAACATACCATTTACTAAGTGGGAACCTCACTGGTTTGGGTATACGCAGTACATCACCAGCTATATAATTTAAATACTGAGTTTCAGTAACATCAGAGAGTGCACGGAGTAAATTAGGTGGGTGCAAAATGAAATCATCATCAACCAAAGTAAGAAATCGAGAAGAGACACATTCATTAATAGCAAAATCTAAAGTCGCTATCAGTTTATACGTAACATTATGATAGCTCTCAACGAAATCAAACTGAACAATGTCATTGTACTTCAGGTATTCTTGAAATACCAAACTTTGAGTATTGGAATGTTTCCAATCAGCAGAATCTGACCTGCCAAGAACAAAAAGAGTCCGAGTGCGCATTCCAAAATGACGGAAACAGTTTGAATTGCCCCAAGTTTCTCGTATATTATTACGTGATCCAAAATGTGACAACGCTGACTTGACAAAAATAACTAGATCTGGTGAAACATCAGATTGATTTATTAATTTACAAGAGTGTATGGGCTGAAGAACAGCATTAAACTTGACAGGATTTATAGGTTCAATCGATGATTTGCTTTTCGACGTTTTGAATTCGTCTTCATATATCATATACAAATCAACATTAAGAGGATATTCAAACGCATTTAGACTAAGGCCCTGATTAATGTACACTACATATGAAGTTATTACAAGAAAAATCAGAGATGCAATAAGAAAAAAAACTAAGTTCAAAGATTTTTTCCTTAAAAAATGTCGTTTATACATTTTGTTATTAAAAGAAATACTCCCTTCTTCTCCATTGCATTATAAAAGCCAGTCCTGAAAATCGGAAAATTTAAAAATGAATTACTGGTGCAAACTGTGGCACAATTCAATCAAACATGTATTCATTAAAAGATGTATAAAAGTTTGGGCTAACTATATATAACTGATGAACATATATTTGAATAGCACCCTACATGAAATATATAAACCAATTACAGTTATTTCCAGTAGTTGCAGTCGCTTACTGTTTCTTAGTCTGGTAAAATGAAACCTGTTAATCCTTCAACATTACGTCATCGTTAGATAGTCATAAAATGTGGATTGTAGTTTCAATTTTTTAGTACTTTACACCGTAGATATACGAAAGTTTTCTATAACATAGCTCTCCAAACAGAAACTGTCACGAACTTCGATGAAATTGATGGCTTTATTTTAACAATCCTCACATTTCCACCTACCCAACACAACGAGAAATAAACATTGCGTGAAGGTCCGTTAGAAACCCACTAAATTAAAGAGAAGGGAGTAACCAGTGGTTTATGAAAGTCTACTTTCAATAAATAAAATCAATAAAACTTTGATTTGTTGGTTGAGAGAGACAGCTAAGCGTACGAATCATCCAGAATAATTGAGTACAAGAAAATTCGTTTGTTTTAAAGAGAAACAACTGAGAAATGTCGAATTAGTATGTATTTAGAATGATTTTGATTGAAGGATGGTTGTTGTTCTACATTACTCAAAAATAATACACACGTTACGTACGGTCAGCGATGTACAACCTTAAAGCGATTAGCTGCATAGTATCCTAACCATTTGATAAATAAATAAATAAATAAATAAACATCCTGTCCAAAAGATAAGTGAACATTTGTAGCTCAAATACTAGTACCATTGCATACATTATGTTAATTACCGACTTTGAAAGGCCAATAGAACATCAATTCGATTAAAGTTATCAAGATAATCAACTGCTTTAATATGCACCATAAGAACTGTAACGATGGAAACAAGCTTCCGTCCTTAGTCAAGATGTCGAAGCTTATTGAAAAAAGAGTGTTAACCAGATAAAAGTATGTAAAGTTATCACCCCAGGTTGTCAGTTACAACGTGGAAATTTGTACGTACGTACATCAGTCCCAGTTGCCAAACCACATGAGCAAAGGGACGCAATTGTCAACTAAAACCCCATAGTATTAGGGGTGGTAGAAGTATGAGTGGTAATCGAAGAAATTAGTGTTCAAAGATATCATTCAAGAAGTATGATCCGGTGAAATTAACTTAAAGAGAGAAAGATAAATGTTATGAAGAATTCAAACGATTAGGACTTAAGAAACCGAAGGATGGATTCGTCTGCGCCATTGCAAACAGTTTTGAGCCACATCATTTAAGGCTCTCAACACATCCAGTTTTCAGTGACCTCATGAACTTGCTCCGTGTTTGGCTTGGCCGCCTCTAACACTCTTCCAACCTACTCTTACACCGCAAAACTCAAATCGATTGGGCAGTCGGTGGCCGGGCATTCGTAACATACGTCCAAACAAGGATCATGACGGGTTGGTTGGAATTTGAGGCCATAAATGGCAGGAAAAGGCATTTGTTAACATTTGCCCAGTTTCTTAACTTTGAGAAAATTTTGAGGTTTTTTCCGAAGTAAACTAGGAATGTGTAGTATTCCCAAGTCTTGGAACACCTAGTGTTTCCTTCCGAATAATATGAAGTCTTAGATTTTTCCCAATGAAATTCAAAGCGTCTCTCAAAAGTTAGTCGGAATTCTTAAGAGATTTGGAGATTTCTTTGAAACTGATTGAGACTTCGTAGGGAAACACGGAGAATTCTCCAACGCTTATCATTGGAATTTACCAAACATTGTTAAAATTACCCCAAAGTTGAAAGGTTGAGTCGGGTAATATCCTATTTCAGAAGACAACTGAGAATTGATCGTTGTGAATTATTTTTATGCAGATCCAAATGTTTATGAACACGAAATACAGTGATTATGGTTACACAACCGAGATGGCTGAAAGACACTCATAATTAACAGATATGGGGGCTGAGAACTTTACGTTTAGATATAATATCTACATGAAGCGAATTTTGCAGAAATCAAATTTCTTGATGAGATAGTGAATACTAACGAATTTAGCTGCGCTTGTATCACGGTGTTTGAGTGGTCTCATGTCCTACTAACTGGATTCTCAAGCCGTATTTCCTGAATGAGTGCTAGATTTGTTTGATTTTACAAAGCCTTATATTTCTGATAATTTCAAAAGTGTTTACTGGACATTCTGGGAGTGAGAGAAATAATATTTTTGAGAAACTATATTTCTCTACATGCACCTGTGGGCACTTGCTGTGGTTTTATTGTAAACAATATATTATAATTGCCTTTATGCTCGTCAGAAGTCCTTGGGATATTTTTTGTACAAGTGAGTCAGTAACACAAACCAGAGCTACGTCTATGAAGTAATCCAGGTACAAGCTAATGAACTACCACTACTACTGCTCACAAACCTCGTATGTTGCGCCTTACAACCTGAATTTATGACCTACAATATCCAATATCCAATATCTTTTTCACGAGCTGGGATAAACCGATTGATTTCTTTGCGCTCGATTCTTGGTGCTCGGTAGTGTCCAATGAATGGGGGTCTAGCCAATCGACTTTCTAATACAAGTCAGTTGGCAGTTGGTTGTGAGTTTGTACGTCTCGGGATTTGAATGAAGACATTTGTTTCAGGGCAGTAGAGTTTCTGGATACCAGCAACTATCACATTATCCGACCGGAGATCAGTTAGTTGCAATGTGGGGAGTAATAAGGGCAATGAGAATAAAATTCTAGTGTTAATATGAATAAAATTTCAGAACTAAGTAATATATAGTTGATTTATTTTGTTAATTAGTAGTGAAGATTGTGAGAGAGGACTGAAGTGTAAGCAGGGGAGAGGAACCAGAGATATTAGGCGAGATGGATTAAGTAAGTGATCTGAGATGGCAATGGTGATAACTAGCAGGTCTCAAGATATGCATCATGAACAGCTTGTCCACGAGGGAGATGGAAAGCTGTATGTGTGTACAAACTTATCAAGTCTCTCCTTGAAGCTGTCCACTGAGGGATCTGTGATCACCTGGGCTGTGCGAGCATTTCAAGCTGCAACAACTCTAAACGAGCAGAAGTGTACAGGAACCTGGATCTTCGCTCTTCGATGAGCAATTTTTCGAAAATTACCTCGAGGGGTGTGGCGGTGAAGCTTTGGTAACATGCTAACGTTGGGGAGATTCGGCGTGCATTAAGCACGCCGTACACCATTATCAAGCCACTTCCGATTCTCCTGTAACTCAGAGAGAATAATCCCCAGTGCTCGAGTCTGTCTTCTCTAGTTTTATCCTTCAACCCAATCGTCTCTGCACTCGATCCAAGGGATTTATGACTGTTCTAAGAAGAGGGGTTGCGACGATATCAACTTCGAGATGTGGTCACGCGTATGTCTCAAAGAACGTTCAGAGCATTTCAAGGGTGAGAGCACCAAGTGAAGAGCTACAGCAGCCTTGGTTGCGTCCCCTGTGTAGTTCGAATTGGTATCGTCTTCAATGGTTATCAAACGGAGGTCGCACTTTAATGAGACATTCGCGAGCGGACTTTCACTGATGGTGTGAGTTATTTGCGTCACGTTGAGCAAAATGTACATTTTGACTGATCTCGTATCAAACCGCTTTTCACTACCCATTCTTCTGCCTTCTTCACCTCAGTTGAGTCGTTTTAACTTCCAACGAACCTCCAGATCTTTCCATCGACTGTGTAGATTAGTGCCGCCGAGCTAACTTTATATAACAGGTCGTTGATAAATATCAGGAAGATAAATGGACCAAAGATGATCCGCTGTAAAACTTCCAATGTTGAGATTTGCCAACTTGCATATTCTACATTTACCTTGGTAGGTAACTGTCCATTCTCAAGGCAGTTTCTGAACCAAGATAGGAGTGGGTCAGTGAAGCCCATTTCCGCAACCGTTATTTTTCGGTTCCAGTAGGTCTAGTTGTCCTGTGCCATGAGAAGATCTTATGCACCCGACCTACATTTCTGACAGTCGTGTTGAGTTTCATCGAAGATGTTGCGCTTATCCATTTCCTCTCTCATTTGTTCGTCCACCTGCCCTTTCATTTCCTTCGACAGAATTGGTATTAATGCCATTGGTGTGTAACAGGTCGGGTTCTTCCTAACTCCTCCTTTGAAGACTAAGGAGAGAGTGGCTTCTTTTCATTCGTCTGGGAGTTGGTGTGACTCCAATAAATGGCCAAGTAGGTCACATATCAGTGAACTGAGCGCTTCTGCACTCCGTTTCAAAATTATGGGGCGAATACTGTCACATCCTGGTGACTTCCCTGGGCGCCAGTATTTTAGTTTTCTCAGTGTTAAGTCAAGAGTAAGTAAAATATACCATAAGCCACTAAATGGTACTATGTTTGAGTTGTACTGTGAACGTATAGGTACTTTGTTTCGTAGATCGGTTAAGTTCACGTTGTAGATCTCAGCCATTTCTAGGTTCGTCATTTGAACGTTGAGCGTGCAAACACCCCTGTTCTTAGGTTTCGTTCTTGTCATGAACCTAAACAGATACTTAGGGTTCGCCTGTATTTTGGCAGCTGGCTCCATCTGAAAGAGTCTCTTATTACTTCGAACTTCGTGATGGCATCTGTTTCTCAAGGCCAAGTAAGAACGACGGTTGGAATACTTCAGAGAGACTTTCCACTTGTACCGGGTTCTTCTACCCGCCTGTAACAAGCGTTCTTTGCCTCGTTTAACCGAATTTCTCTTTCCCGGTGTTCTAGGCCTGAGTTATAATGTTTAGGAGAGCATTCTGGACGATGTCTGTCTCTGTTGCCCGGTGATAATCTGCTGTTAGTCTCAACAATTCTCGTTTCAGTGGGGCATGTTGAAGATTCTCCTTAATGCCCGAATAAGTTGCCTTTTTTAGCAAGGGTAGGGCTCATTTACGTCCTGTCTGAGATTTTCGTATATGACTATGTTAAACAATACTGTGTCATGGTCATCACTCCCTACTGGTCTATGGTCGTGAACAACCTCCACTAGGGCTGATCATTTGTTTGAGGATTTTTCATTCCCAGTCCAACCTGTGGGAGTTGTTACTTGCTCGCTGAGATTTAGAAATGGCTAGATAAAATCCCTAGCCAAGACTACTTGATCAAACACAAGGAGTGGCAGTTGCAGCATTACTCCAGTTTATTTTTCTGGGCCTTAGAACTTGAAAGAAGCCAGTAAATCCCTCCATTTAGGTATTTTGTGCGATTTGTGTTGAAATAGCACTAACATGAGTCTGTCATCCTGGTTGGTTAGTGATGCAGTCACGCGGCTTTGAAATGGCTGTCAATATATATAACCTTCTCCCTCCTCTTTGATTTATCCTATCTCTCCGGAAGAGTGTCACACTTTGCAAGATCACTTCATTGTATGCAATGTCGGGGGATAGCCACATTTCTATTAAGCTTATGATCTTAAGATCCATCCGAGAACCCATTATCCTCATCTATTCCGATTCCCTCCTCATTACACTTACGTTACTATAGGGGCATTTGATGGTGTGTCTCATCACCTGGCGCACATTTCATTGAAATCCATCGCGGGTTTTTAAGCAAATTGTTCACGGTTCCACGAATCGAATACACTATACAAGCAAAATCCCCGCAGCGGCCGGTTCTCATAGAACTTGCCAGCCCGGTTCGATCTCCATACTTGTATGATGAGTAATCGATCGAGGTTAACTGCCAACAGTGTATGCTTTATTTGGCCTCTCTGTTCTTGCATCACTGATCTAGGTCGGCTCTCACATCTAATGTGACTAGACAAGTCATTGTTCGTGCGGTATCAAGCCTCAAGCACCCCAGTTAGGTCTTTCAGATTTTTGAAGTTGACAGCTATTAGACGAGACTCAGTAGCTTTGAGATGTACCAGACGAGGCAGCCAGGAAATGCTATTTGCTATGGTAGTATGAAGGCCTGAGCTATGTAATGGCCACCACCATTGTTGCTTATTGTGTATGAGCTCAGGCACTCCGTTAACCATCATACTAGTCTTTTTGTAAGTCTGTTGATATTTTAGCTCGTACTGATCAATGTTTGTTGGGATTAACTATGGCCAAGAATGAATGTTTAACCCAAGATCTCCTACTTTACTTTCAATGGAGGAGGTTTACCATTAGCTACATTCTGACACTCAAGCAAGCTTCATCGTCTGACCCTGATGCCGCTCATTCCAAGCAGTACTCTCCAGTTTTTCACCATGCACACCGACTGTTCCGCACCGTTAACAGATGCGCGGGCATTTACAACAATCAAGGATTTTGTTGGCGTATAAGTACGGGTTGCGCCTGCCTTTGCTCACAGTTCAATCGATCTTTAGTTGGGTGAATTAGGTTTACTAGTGAGGATCGATAGGTTTTTTTTAGATGGGGTCTTTTGCGTCATTGATCTTAATTTAATTAATGTACACTGTGGACAAACATTGCAGAACCACGGATAGAGGTGACTTAGTATGAACCCATGATATTATCCAGGTACTGCAGTATCACAACGATAGCCATTTACCGTAGAAGTTACATTAAAATGTAAAGTCACTGGTTTTATCTGGTAACGAGCCGAGCATACAATTATAATTGTTTTTTTCTTCCTAGACAGTAGGGTGTGTCAGTTTAGTTTCAAGACACTTTTTTCTCTTATTTCTTTTTCGCCCACCAGTCTAATTAGGGGTACGAATGTAGGAAAGTTTTTTGTTGAAGACCCAAATGAGGTGTTTAGGTTGGGTGATCCGAGTCGAAACTTTAAATTTGACCGTCCTACCAAGCTATTTCCCGTAGAACCAGTAACTTTGACACAAGTCCTGTGTATCTGACCAGCATTCATGACGGTGGGGCGATAACCTCAATCTACCCATGTCTGTGTGGCAGAACATTTTGTTTGCTTACGGCCCCTTACGATATAGCAGGATGTAACAAATCAGTGATATTGATGTTACTTTTCCTCATAAACCTCGTCTACGACTCATGTCTGTAACCTTGCACTGGTTTTTACTTCCCAACGAGAAATCCTATTAAAAGCCGGTCTGCACAACTATACTAAAAAAGAGCTCATTCATAACTTCTTGAGCCAAAGAGTTAAAAATAAAATGAATAAATAAAATAAGATTAAAACATAAGATTACTGAGCCTCATTATTATATTTCGCAAATCAACGTTTATAAAATGATTATATTATTCTTGCAGTCCGCTTTTAACCCGAATGGCGTAGGTTCATACGCGTCCTGCATAGTCCAAGTCCAAAAGCGATAATTCTGGGAGAGAACGTTTCTATATTTAATCAAAAGGGGAAATTCAGACAATTACCAAAACAATATTACACCTTTGAGTTTCCGATTACCACAATAGGTTCAGTTGCTGGAAGAATAAGTACTTGCAGTCAGTTACTGCCAGAGTATCAAATCCAAATATGGCTGTAGCCATATTAAAT